CCCTCCCTCCCTCCTCTCTCTTTTTTTATTTCTTCCCTCCACTCAGAGAGGCTGGGTCAAAGTTTTCCACATCTTCCTGAAGTGAACACTCTTCTCTGGATAACATGGCTGAAATGGTACGTTTCCTCAGTCAAATTATTTAATTTCCATCTTATTGAAACGCTGTTTTTCATCACAACTCACCATACCTCCTCGTCATTTGTTGTAAAAACATATGGTGTTCCTTAAATTCAAGGTAGCATTCTTGAAATTCAGAGTTTCAGTCACTTCCTTGTAGCCTTTCCTTGAATGTAAGAACAGAAACTTGGTCTTTTCTCTGAATTTTCTCTCAAGGAAGATTTTTTTGAAAAGACTCATTTTGTCTGCAGAGTAGATCATTTAAAAAAAAACTGTAATCCTGCAACTTGATGTGTTTAATAAGTGAAGCTTTCCTTGAGGTCTTAATAAACCATAATCTGCATTTGATTGCAGGTCAACCAGATCAGCCAATCACTGCCCTGTTGACAGATTAACTTACTTAACTCTTTATGATCTGGTCACATTTTCAAAGCCATTTGATTTTTTTTTTTTACTCTTTTTGCACTCTGTATTAGTATGAATGATGGACGTCCAAATCCTGTCCAAATACTCCCCCGATCTTGGTGCTCAGACCAGGATTCTCTCTAATGCCGTTCACACTGGGTTTAAACTTTGTTTCTTTCTACTCTGATCCCATGAGGAGATCTTTAATTCCTGGTCTGGATTCACATTTTTGGAGGCCAGATGACAATTTATTTTTTTACTGCCGTTTTATTAGTCAAGCTTTTCATTCACTGACACACCTCTGGTGCAGATGGCAGCGGCAACATGGGGCGAAGGATGGTTGACGGTTGTGTCGACTCTAGGGGGAGCTAATATCCACGCTACAACTTATAGTTGAAACCAGGCCACTGGCAACGCTAATGTTATGTCTAATGGATCTGGTGGTGTTTTAATATACGCTGTGGACTGTTGGCCACAGTTTGATACAAATCCTTTTTTTTTTCCGATGGTACAGAGGAAGATTGTTGTCTTGTTTTCACTTGCAGTCAAACACCAAAGGTCCATTTGGCTTCATTTCATGTCATATTCGCTGGAGTTAAAACATGTTACTGTTTTCGCCCCCCCCCAAGTTGGTTTGAACTGCCCGCCAGTGTGTTTGGAAGACGGCGAACAGACTCATGTTAATCCTCAGACACCGATGGAATAAACCGTCTGTGTCTGATATCGGCTGAAGCCAGTTTTTTAAGGAAGAGAGGAAAGAAAACTGATGAGGAATTATTTTAATTTTCTCTGATACGACCGAACTTATTGCCCAAAGGGGGTAATTAAACTTCTTTGTACAAGTGGATGTGTGACATGCACCTCGCCTGGGGGGTGCCAGAGCACTTCGGGGGAGGTGTAAATTGACGAAAGGGAAATGTGGGTCCTGGACGTCTTCTGAAGAGAACGATAAAACAGAGGAATGCTGACATTTGTTGTTGTTTGGTTTTTCATGGATTGGTTTGAACAATTCTTGGTAGATTTTCATCTTTGCGACTTCAAAACCCACACAGTAAAACTTTGCATCTTTCTGGTTATCCAAGTGTATATTTGTGTTTGTATATTTTTCATTCAATATATTATATATTCATTCAGATTATGGTATTCAGTAGAGATGCACTTTTTTTAAAACTATGTGGAAACAATGTCTGACCCACTTCTTTTAACTGTGTAGACCTGCCGTAATCAGAAAACTTTACAAAGCTCTTCTAGAAGAAGTCATCACTCCCATGTAAAAAAAAAAAAAAAACACAAAAAACTCTGAATCCCTGTGGACGCTCTGTTTGGTGCTGAATGCAGTATTTCAGTGTACAATCAGAGGTGTGGCTGAAAAGATGAAGTCTTTAGATGCTGAGAAGATGACGAGGCTCAGGAGCAGCAGGTATATCCTCAGCAGCAGGCTCTGTGATTGGTGGAAAAGCCAAAGCCACTTTTTTTTTGGTCAGGTTGTGCAGCAGGAAAAACAAAAAACAAAAAAAACCCATGTGTATTTGGAATAATGGAGAATTGCTGTACCTGGGTCTTTCAGTTTCAGTGTTTTGTTTTTATGGTCTTTATGCCACATTATCCAGTCAGTTTTTATTAGCGCGTGTGTGTGTTTGTGTTGATGCGTGCAGCTTTGTGTTTCTGTTCAGTTCTTTCCGGCCTTTTGAATCAGTGCCATTTATCTTTTACAGTTCCGCTGATTGTCCCCCTGCCGTTCTCTCTGCAAGTGATGGGACACTTTTCTCTGCTTGCCTCCTAATATTCTCTACTGCAGCGGGAAAACAGCTCTTTAAAATATTCCACTGAGGCGCTGCCAATTTCATCCGCAATTTTAGCCTGCATTTGTCTTATTGTACGGGTTTTTTTTTTTTTTTTTCCACTTGCCACAGGATGTGCAATAAAAAAAAAGATTACCTATTGTCACGGTTTCATTGTGAATGTGATGAGTTGTTTTTTTTCTTTTTAATTGTCTCATTTAGTCCAGGCCCAGATAGCTGTTAATGCAACGGAAATGAGAATAGAAAGTCTTTCATACAGATGACAATATGACCGCTTTGAGATAAAAAGACAAAGAACTTATGAAAAAAGAAAAGCAGTGGAGGTGTTTTTATGAAGTGTGGAGGGCTACGTTTTGGAATTGGCAAGACAAAAAAAAAAAAAAAAAAGGCCCGAGCAAAGTAGAAAAAATTTGCCAGAGAAATGTTGTTGAGTTGATGTTGGAGCATAAGGTCAGTGGAAGAGCATGAAGTATGGTACGAATCTTGATGCAAAATTCTCTGGATCCTGGAGATAAAATGAAGTTATTTCTCTGTCATGGTTATTTTGACAGGAATTTAAGTGACAGCCAGTACGACCCAAGGGAGGACATTAAGAGAATAATAGTCGTACTCTCCGCAAAAACCAGGTCACGGCTAAAAGCAATGGGGTTTTTTTTTTATACCAGAGACAAAATTTCCTTTTGCACGTACACTCTTCTGCATCTGGGGCTGCCACACCTGTCGAATGGTGGCAGACGTCTGTGACAGTAACAAGCCTTAAGACTTCAAAAGTCTGCTCTCTGAGGAAATAGACATTTCAGCCTCTGTCCTGGTTTTGAGTCCATGAACTGAATCAAACTCAGAATCTGCCGCTTTGGCTGTGATGTCAAAGGAGAGAAGCTGCAGAATCCTGAATCCATGATGGCAGGGCCTTAAATACACGGTTTAACTCTATGACGGCAGGGCCTTAAATACACGGTTTAACTGAGCGCTGATGTTGTTAGCTACCTTTAAGAGTTGTTGTTAACCTTCTGGCTCCGTCTTCTATCTGTTTATTTACTCATATTTAAACCAGCGGGGCTGCTGCCTTTGGGAGGTAGAGCTTTTTTCAATAGAACATGGGTGACGACTGTGTTGAGAAAAAAATGATGCTGTGGTTCATAGTAAGATTAACAACAACAACAGTGTGGCAGAAGTGTATTTGTGAAAAAGTTTCTAGCTGCTCTGCTGTCCTGGATTTAGTACTTTTTCAACATAAAAATCTTATTTATATGCTAATAATAAATTGAACTTTATTGATGGCACACTTGGGGAATTCTGGTGTTAACAGCAGATCTGCTACCACGTATGTGGTTCCTCTGGGAATTGAACCCTGTCAGACCTGTTAACTGTTCATTTTTTTTTTTTTTGTCAGATTAATTTTCACAAAATAATTATTGTCTTACTTTCAACAGCCCTACTTGTTATCATACTGTTGCTATTGATGCTATTGTTTCTGTTGTGCTGTTATTGTATCGCTGATGTCCTGCACCGTGTGTGTGCTGTTTGCAGGAACAGCGAGAAGGAAACGAGTGCACAGTGACCCAGTTTTTACAACATGTAGGACATATAAATTATTAATATTCTATAGGCTCGTGTGTGTGTGTGTGTGTGTGTAAATGATGGAGCTCAGTGGAAGATCACTGATCCGTGTGGTTCAGTTTCACAGAGAGGAAAGTTGCAGCTGGTCAGGTGGTGGATCTGGGCCCAGTGGTGATGCAGACTTTTTCTTCCAGATGCCTCTCACTTAAAGCCCCGCTCCGTCTCTCCTCGCAGGGCAGGATTTAAATGTTTTCCCTCTCACTCACATTCTGTAAAAGTTTACAGGTCAGTGAAGAGAGTTTGTTTTCAAATTTTTGTTTTTAGGCCTTCTAGGCTTTGCAGCAGCTGTACCGGTGGTCAGAGCTCATGTGATTTAACCTTCTAGGCTTTGCAGCAGCAGCAGCTGTTGTTACCGGTGGTCAGAGCTCATGTGATTTATTATGGATGTAACCAACTCCAAATTACTTCAAAATTATTCAGCATGGAGTGAATACAGGGATTTATGTTGCGTCAAAACCCACATTTTGTGGATGCAAAAGTGACATTTAAACATTTGGTGCATACTTTTTCAGTTCAGTAATAATATTTTGAACATCTTGTGTATAGGTATAATCCACATGTAAAAGAGCTTTTGTTGCTATAGAAATACAATATGGTTGTGGATTTTTTTTAAACTAATCTCACTAAAAAATATTCAGTTTCCTTCACTTGGATATGTGTAAATTATTAGTGGATTCACACTTGAATTAACAGCCAGTGAATGGATTGATCCCCTACAGGCAAACAAAACGTGGCACAAAAACCAAGTTTGACCTGGAGGCTGTTGGTTGATAGTGCTGAGAAACACAGTCCTGAACATATGTTCTTTGTTGTTACAGTAAAACACTGTCTGTAATAAACTGCAGACTGGCCCAGGAGAATATGGATGTTAGCTCCTGCTAATGTAAGTGGTGATAATGAAGGGGACGGCCTGCAGGCATATACAGCAAAAGTGGAGGAACCTTAGCCCCGCCCACATATGGGTGTTGGACAACATGTAGGACAACACTCGGTCATCGCACCAACAAACAGCAGAAATGCATTTGTCCCACAACCAGACAGTAATTGGATAAACTCTAGACTATATAAGTGCATTGTTTCCCAAAGACTGGGTCGCGACCCTCAGGTGGAGTTTACAAATAATGTGTATTAATTTGGGTCGTGACGGTTTGTGACCTGTGATTTTAAAATAT